GATGTTGTGGTCCAAAATTTATAGAAAAATTTTTTATTTTTTTTAAAGACATTTTTAATTATTTTATTTAAAAAAAAAAAAATATTTATAAATTAATTTTTTTATAAATATATAGCATATATATTAATTAAATATTTTATAAATATTTATTTATTTTATAATATTATTATTTTTAAAGAAATTTTTAATAATAATTTTAAAATTATTATTCCCTAATNTAATTTTTCAGTACCTCGATGTAATAACCCAATATGAGAATCTGCTTTTTGAATTACTTCACCATTTAATTCTAAAATTAAACGTAAAACACCGTGAGCAGCTGGATGTTGTGGTCCAAAATTTATAGAAAAATTTTTTATTTTTTTTAAAGACATTTTTAATTATTTTATTTAAAAAAAAAAAAATATTTATAAATTAATTTTTTTATAAATATATAGCATATATAGTAAGTAAATATTTTATAAATATTTATTTCTTTTATCATATTATGATTTTTCAAGAAATTTTTAATAATAATTTTGAAATTATTATTCCCGAATTTTTTTTAACAACTATTTTATTAATTTTATTATTATTTGGAGTTTTTTATAAAAAAAATCAAAATACTCAAAAAATTTTGATTATTAAAAATATTACTACTATAATAATATATTTATTATTAATTCTTTTAATATTAACATTAAATATAACAAATATTTCAAATAATATATTAAATGGTGTATTAATTATTAATAATTTTACACAATTTATTAAAATAATTTTAATATTATCAACAATTATTTGTTTTTTAATACAACAACGATATTTAATACAACAAAAAATAAATTCATATGAAATTAATATTTTAATGTTAATCTCATTATTAGGTTTAATGCTATTGATTTCTTCAAACCATTTTATTACATTATATTTAGCAATCGAATTACAAAGTTTAAGTTTTTATATATTAACTTCTACACAAAAAAAATCAATTTTATCTATTGAAGCAGGTTTAAAATATTTCATTTTAGGATCAATTGCTTCAGGATTTATTTTATTTGGTTCTTCAATAATTTATGCTATAACAGGTTCATTAAATTTTAATCATATATTTTTAATATTATCAAATATTAATTTTTTAGATAATATTAATATATTAATTAGTTTATCTTATGGATTAATTTTTATTTTAGTTGGAATTTTATTTAAAATAGGTGCTTCACCTTTTCATTTCTGGTTACCTGATGTTTATGAAGGTGCTCCTAATAATATTTCAAGTTTTTTTGCTATTGTACCAAAAATCGCTTTTATAGGGATATTAATTCGTTTATTTTTTGAAATTTTTTTTAATATTTCATATTTTTTTGAAATTTTTTTTTATATTATTTCATTTTTATCTATGTTAGTTGGAGCTTTATCAGCATTACAACAAAAAAAAATAAAAAGATTATTAGCTTATAGTTCAATAAGTCATGTAGGATTTATTTTAATAGGATTTACTTCAAATATGTTAAATAATATACCCTTTATTTTATTATACGTTTTAATTTATATTATAACTAGTATTAATTTATGGACTTCTTATTTATCTTTAAATATAAATCATAAACCTATTAAATATTTAACGGATTTATCAAATATATATTTAATTAATAAATTAATTGCTGTTATTATAATATTAAATATTTTTTCATTAGCTGGTATTCCACCTTTAGCAGGTTTTTTTTCAAAATTCTTTATTTTTTTTTCAGCAATTAAAAATAATTATTTTAGTTTAGTTTTTTTTGGTATTATTATAAGTGTTTTAAGTTCTTTTTATTATTTAAAAATAATAAAAATTATTTATTTTGAAAAAATATCAAGAAAATTATTTATTTTACAAATAAATAAAATACAAAGTGTTATACTATTAATTAGTACTCAATTTATTTTATTTTTATTTGTTTTTCCTAATATTATATTAATAAATTTAAACAAAATTTATTTATATTTATTAATATAATATTTAGTCTGGATAGCTCAGTTGGTTAGAGTAAAAGACTGAAAATCTTTGTGTCGGTGGTTCAAATCCACCTCCAGACAACTTTTATTATTAAAAATATGTATCTTTTAAGAATAACTTTTAAATCATTTCAAAAAATAAATCAACTTAAACAAAATTTATTAAAAATAAAAAAAAATAATAAATTAAAAAATATTCAAATACATGGGATATTTCAAACAAAAAATAAAAATAAAATTTTTACTTTATTAAGATCTCCACATGTAAATAAAAAATCACGTGAACATTTTATTTATAAAAATTATACACCAAAAATGGATATAAAATTTAAAAGTATTTTTCAATTATTAAATTTTATAATTTTAATAAAAAAAATCTTATCTAAAAATTCATTAATCAATATTAAAATTTTAAAAAAAAATTAAAGTTATGCTTATAGCTTAATTGGATAAAGCGTTAGATTGCGGATCTATAAAATGAAAGTTCGAGTCTTTCTAGGCATATATTTTGAAGTATAGCCAAGTGGTAAGGCCTCCGTTTTTGGTACGGAAAATCAAAGGTTCGAATCCTTTTACTTCAAAAGGGCCTATAACTCAGTTGGTTAGAGTATACGCCTGATAAGTGTAAAGTCAGTAGTTCAAATCTACTTAGGCCCATCGAATAATTAGCTCAATTGGTAGAGTATTTCGTTTACACCGAAAATGTTAGCGGTTCGAGTCCGTTATTATTTAATAATAAAGAATAATATGTCAACAATTAATCAATTATTTTTAAAAAAACAAAAACGTTTAGAAAAAAAAAAAAGAAATAAAAGTCCAGCTTTAAAACAATGTCCACAACGTAAAGGTATTTGTTTAAAAGTTTATAATACAACACCTAAAAAACCTAATTCTGCTATGCGTAAAGTAGCAAAAGTTCATTTATCAAGTAGATATACAATAATTACTTATATACCTGGTATAGGTCATACTTTACAGGAACATTCAATAGTACTAGTTAGAGGCGGTCGTGTTAAAGATTTACCTGGAGTAAAATATCACGTTATTCGAGGTAAATATGATTTATTAGGAATTTATTCAAGAAAAACATCAAGATCGAAATATGGAACTAAAATACGAAGAGTATAAAATAAAAAAATTATTTATAAATATGTTATTAAAAAAAGGTAAAAAAACTTGTTCAGAAAACATATTTAAAAATATTTTAATTAATTTAAAAAAAACAACAAAACAAAAACCTAATTTTATTTTATTTAAATCAATCGATAATTTATTACCTAAATTAAAGGCTATTATTATTCCAAATAAAAAAATAAATAAAAAAAAAAAAAAAAAAGATCGATATTTTTTAATGCTTTTAAATGAAGATAAACAAATTAAAAAATCAGTTTCTTGGTTACTTTTAAATGCAAATTTAAAAAATATAACAAATGAAATTATTCAAACTTCAAAAAATAAAAGTAAAACAATTAATACAAAAAAACAATATTATAAAAATATTAAAAAATTAAAATTCAATCTTGTTTTTGATTAATTTTTATTGAAATATATTATTTATCATTAAATAATTAATTATTACAAATTATCCAATTTTTATGAAAAATTATTATTATATTAATAAAAAAAATTTACAAATTGAAACTACAACAAATGATTCTAATATCGATAAATTACAAAATGATTTAAAGTTTTTAAAAGAAATTACTAAAAATACACAAAATACACAAAATCATCCATATCATTTAGTAGATCCAAGTCCATGGCCTTTTGTAATTTCATTTGGACTTTTTTTTCTAACTTTTGGTAGTGCTATGTATTTTCATGGTTATATTGGAAGTAATCTTTTAACTTTAACAGGTTTTTTAATGGTTATTTTAACAATGTATACATGGTTTCGTGATATAGTTAGAGAAGCGGTATATGAAGGTCAACATACTAAACAAGTACAATTAGGTTTAAGAAATGGTATGCTTTTATTTATTTTTAGTGAATTATTATTTTTTGTTAGTTTTTTTTGGGCATTTTTCCATTCAGCTTTAGCACCAACACCTGAAATAGGTTCATTATGGCCCCCATTAGGTATTGCGACTGTAAATGCTTGGGGTATTCCTTTATTAAATACTATACTTTTATTATCATCAGGAGCAACTATTACATGGGCACACCATTCTATAGTTTTCGGTGATAGACAAAATGCAATTTTAAGTTTAATTATTACTATTTCATTAGCTTTTTTTTTTACTTTAATCCAAGCTTATGAATATATTGAAAGTACTTTTTCAATTTCAGATAGTATTTATGGTACTACTTTTTTTTTATTAACAGGTTTCCATGGTATACATGTTATTGTAGGTACTATTTTTATTTTAATAAGTACTATTAGATTAATTAATCATCATTTTACAAAACAACACCATTTCGGTTTTGAAGCTGCAGCTTGGTATTGGCATTTTGTTGATGTTGTTTGGTTATTTTTATTTGTAGCTGTTTATTGGTGGGGAGGTAATTAATTTATCAAAAAATTAAATAAATAACTTTTATGTTTAGTCCTTTAGAACAATTTGAAATTTTACCTATTTTTCAAATACCTTTTGTATTTACTAATGCTTCTTTAATTTTAATAATAGGTTTTGTTTATATATATATTTTTTTATCTATAAAAACTAAATTTATTCCAACACGTTTTCAACAAATTTTTGAAATGATTTTTAATATTACTATAGAATTAACTTATTCAAGTATAGGAAAAGCTGGTAAACATTTTGTTTCATTAATTTTTGTAGTTTTTTTTTTTATTTTATTATGTAATTTAATTGGGATGGTTCCATATAGTTTTACTATTACTAGTCATTTAATTATTACGTTTACTTTAGCTTTAACTATTTATTTAGGTTTTAATTTAATTGGTATTAAAAAACATAAATTAAATTTTTTAAATTTATTATTACCAAGTGGTGCAAGTATTGCTTTAGTTCCAATTTTAGTACCTATTGAATTAGTTTCATATATTTTTAGAGTAATTAGTTTACCAGTACGATTATTTGCAAATATGATGGCAGGACATACCTTATTAAAAGTAATTGCAGGTTTTGCCTGGACTATGTTAAATGTAAATAGTTTTATATTTATAGCACATTTTATTCCTTTAATAATTATTGTTTTATTAGTAGGTTTAGAAATTGCCGTAGCTTTAATTCAAGCTTATGTATTTACTATTTTAACATGTATGTATATAAATGATGCTTTAAATTTACATTAATAGCAATTAAAATAAAAAATATAATAATTTTAACCAAGGAAAAATAGCTCAGTTGGTTAGAGTGGTAGCTTGTCACGCTATAGGTCGCGGGTTCGAGTCCCGTTTTTTCCGTTTAATTTTGTTATATTTAAAAAAAAATTTATTAATATGTTATTAAATTATTCAAATATTTTTATATTTTTAATATTAAGTTTATTTTTATCCCTTTTAATTTTCATTTTATCTTTTGGTTTAATTAAACAAAAAGATGATTTAGAAAAGTTAACAGCGTATGAATGTGGTTTTAATCCTTATGATGATGCTCGAAAAATTTTTGATGTAAAATTTTATCTAGTAGCGATTCTTTTTATTATTTTCGATTTAGAAGCTGTTTTTGTTTTTCCTTGGGTTTTAACTTTAAGTTCCAATTTTTCATGGGGTTTTTGGACTATGATTGAATTTTTAGTTGAATTAGTTATAGGTTTTGTTTATATTTGGTGTAGTGATGCCTTAGAATGGTAATTAATTTATTAAAAATATAAATAAAATTTATTGTTATTTTTTAAAATTATATTATATAGTTGATACATTTTTGGATTCAACTATAAAAATATAAGGGAAAAATATGAATTAACCCTTCTATTTAATTTTTTATATTTAGACAGTGATTTTGTTTAATAGTCAAAAAACTACCTTTTGTTTAAATAATTTCGAAAAAAGTTACTATTAATGAAAATATAAATGAAGATTTTTTTTATATAAAAAATATAACATATGTTTCTGAGGGCAATAGTAATAATTAAATAAAAAAATAATTTATATAAATATTTATTATTTAAGAATAAATATTTTCAATATATTATTTTGAAAATACTTTTAATTTATTTTATTCTATTATGTTATTATTAATTTTAATTTTTTTACCTTTTTTAGGTTCAGTAGCTGCTGGACTATTCGGTTTTTATATTGGACGTAAAGGTTCAGTATTTATAACTACTTTAACAACTTTTTTAAGTTGTCTTTTTTCATTAATTATTATATATAATTCAATTATATATGAATATGAATATATTATTTATATTTCAAATTGGATTAATAGCGGTTTATTTAATTGTAATTGGTGTTTTTTATTTGATAGTTTAACTATGATAATGTTAGTTGTTGTAACAAGTATTTCAACCTTAGTTCATCTATATTCTTCACAATACATGTCTAACGATCCACATTTGTCAAGATTTATGTCATATTTATCTTTATTTACCTTTTTTATGCTTATATTAGTTACAGGTGATAATTTTATGCAAATGTTTGTTGGCTGGGAAGGTGTTGGTTTTTGTTCTTATTTATTAATTAATTTTTGGTTTACTCGTTTACAGGCGAATAAAGCTGCTATAAAAGCAATGTTAGTTAATAGAATTAGTGATTTAATTTTATTATTAGGTGTATTAACTATTTTTTATAATATTAGAACTATTGAATATTTTAGTACATTTGCAGCAATTTCGATTGTTAAAGATTTTAAATTTATTTTTTTTAATTATATTTTAAGTATTATTGATGTAGCTTGTATTTTGATTTTTATAGGTGCCATGGGTAAATCTGCTCAAATTTTTTTACATTTATGGTTACCCGACGCTATGGAAGGTCCTACACCAGTTTCAGCATTAATTCATGCAGCAACAATGGTAACCGCTGGTGTATATTTAACAGCACGTTGTTCACCTATGTTTGAATATTCAATGTTTTCTTTAAAAGTAATTACAGTAATTGGTGCTTCAACAGCTTTTTTTGCAAGTACTGTAGGATTAGTACAAAATGATTTTAAAAAAATTGTGGCCTATTCTACATGTAGTCAATTAGGTTATATGTTTTTTGCTTGCGGTTTATCAAATTATCCTTTAGCTATTTTCCATTTATCAAATCATGCTTATTTTAAAGCTTTATTATTTTTATGTTCAGGAGCAGTAATTCATGCAATGGGTGATGAACAAGATATTAGAAAAATGGGTGGTTTAAGACGTATTTTACCTTTTACTTATATAATGTTTTTAATAGGTTCATTGTCTTTAATGGGTTTTCCATTTTTAACTGGATTTTATTCTAAAGATTTAATATTAGAAGTAGCTTTTGCTAGTTTTAGTGAAACAGGTCATTTTGCTTATTGGTTAGGTACTATAGGTGCATTTTTTACAGCATTTTATTCTACTCGTTTATTATTTTTTTCTTTTTTAAGTGAAACCAATGCCTATAAAAATATTATTAAAAATGCACATGATGTTCCATTAGAAATGGGTATTCCTTTAGGTTTATTAGCTTTTGGTAGTATTTTTATTGGTTATATTT